GGTGGGGTGGGGTCCGGATCAGGATTGTCATAGTGTCACGTCTTGCTTGAAGGTTGTTCTAGGAGAATGATCAAGAAGAATCCGAAAAGGATCAAGAAAGGATAAGCAAGTTCTAGAAGGATCGAGACATGTTTAGAGTTCGTGTACTGGAACATTCCATGTAAATATCTAGTAGAATAGTACAAGACAACGGTCTAAAGAAATCCATAGAGTAATATAAATAGAGATAGTCTCTGATTTGTAAATCACACTTCGTGCTTTCACGACTTGAGTAATACAACCATTGTTTTCTCCCACTCTCTTTAACATTATTGTTTGCTCAGCTTATTGAGTATTCTTGTAGTTTGGTTGACTTAGTGGTTGTTTACCAAACACTTACCTGGTAAGCGTTTACCGGTAAAATTTAACACTACCACTTACTTACCGGGTAAGACTTTAGTCCACCAAAACGACATCGTATGCAACAATTTACCCAGTAAGCGCTTATCATGGAAAGAGTCGTCTCCCTCGCTTACCGGGTAAGACTCTCGGTCCTTGTCTCCCTCGCTTACAGGGTAAGACTCTCGGTCCTTGTCTCCCTCGCTTACCGGATAAGACTCTCGGTCCTTGTCTCTCTCTTACCTGGTAAGACTCTTGGTCCTTATCATATTCACCCGGTAAGGTAACGTGACTTGGTAAGCGCTTACCCGGGTAAGCGTTTGGTAAACAGCCCCTTAGTCTGAGAATTAAGGTCATACACGACCTTGTGAAGAGATCTCCTTGACAACAGGCAATGAATAAAAATCTTATATCTTCAAATCTACGTCTTTTGTCTATCAATTATGTGAAAACACAATCATTTTATTCAGTTAAAAGAATAAAACCCAGTTAATTGAAATTTATAATAAATAATATAATAATATGTCTCCATGTGATCGATGGAATATAGAGGGGCAAAACAGATATTTATTCCATGCAAAGGGAAGAGTAACAAGGGTCGCTATAGAGGGAACGATGTTGGGGGTACTGGGAGGGGTAGGGATAGAGCGACATAAAGGGAGGTGACGGGGTGGGGATGGGACGATGTGACATGATGGAACCAGGACGGGGCTACCAGGTGAAAATGTCTACCCTTCTAAGTTTTTGTCGTTGATAGACGTGTTTAAAGAAAACAGTATAAAATGATAAATTACAGATGTCATATTCCCAAATTCTAACATGGATATGGTATCTCATGGCTTATTCTAAATCATAACATGAAATATTCAGTATTCAGCACGATATTTTAATAAATAGATACACAGCGGAATATCTTGAACAGATATATAACTTAAACGTAGACTTTCATGTTTATCTTGAATATATAACGTGTCCTTACGAAAGCCAATACTAAATAAACAAAACGACGCCTAACACTTTATCTTTCATCAACTTTTGGGCTCAATTATTGGCAACAAGGTGGTGTTGTCGATCAATTTGTCTAGAAAGATCCAGAGATGCTACCGGTGGATTTTCAGTACGCCTTTTGTAGTAAAATTTATTTCTGTAATAATATTTTTAAAATTGAAGACCAAAATTTAATTATGTTTATAAGTTTAAACATTTATTAACTTTTGAACCTTTTTCTTTAATGTTTTACGAATTTTAATTGAATTTAATGCTCATTTTGTAGAGTTCCAAATACGACTTCGATCTCCTTTGACACTTTTTTAAGAACTAGAATGGTACTCGTACAAAGCAGCGAGATAAATCTTCACTTTAATGTTTCGTTTTATTTTTTATTTCTATTGATATAGCACGGTTTATATAGTTTTAATAAAAATAATGTTTTTACTTTTGAATAAAAATATATTTGAAGATATAAAAATTTGAAAAAAATATATCGATATTAATATCAAATTAACTATTTAAAAGTTCTCATTTTTTGTACAATTTCTTTAATTCAATTTTTTGTTATAACTTAATTTATGTCTACTAGCAAAATAATTTATTTTTTTGGGTTTAACAATAATATAATTTTTTATAAATATAATATTTTGTTAGAACTCAATAATTATCCTAATTATATTTTAAACTTTTTATATTTAAAATAAGATATTTATTCTGTCAATTTAAAAAGGTCCATTAAACAATGTTGTATGTCAATTTAAAAACTATATTTTATAATAAAATTCTATTTAGAACGTTAGTTAAATGAAAATTGGACCAAAACAAATTACATTTAAAAACAAATATAATATCAAATTAAAACAGTTTAAAGCTGATATAGACATTTCTGAGCAAGAATGTTGTGGATCGATCACAATAAAAAACAGATACAATAATGAAAGTTCTTGAGTTCTGATACTACTAATCTATCTTATATGATTAAACCAGAAACCTTCTTTTATCACTAAGCAAAATGTAGAGAGAATGGAGTGTATGATCTGAAAACTCATTTACAGTTTTTTAATTACAGAACCGAAACCCAGTTAAAATAAAAGAGTTTGTAGAACTGAGTATTTTGAAATTTGACATGTAATAAAGTACAGATTTCCAAAAACTGTATGTGTACGATCATAACTAATTATGTAGATTAGCTTTTTAAATTATTCATAAAAATGACAAAAAAAAAAACTCATTCAAACAAATTTTCAACTATCCAATCTATATTATATTATTAATCATTTGACAAAAACTCTTAAACCCATTTTTTATGTATGAAGTACTGTATATTGATGTTTATTACTTAAAATTCAAGATTATAAATAAAT